GACCTAGCCTAGCACCGCGATAAACCAACGTTTTGGCAAAACAAAAATATTGTGTGAATCACAATTTAACTTCAACCGGTCAAATCGTACATTAGTTACATGATCTCTAACAGTTTAAGTTATATGCAAAAGTGTTGATACGAATTTGTTAACTTTTACGGAATATCTACTCGCAAAGAGCTGTGAATGGCAATCTAATCTACCTCCTCAAATGATGCAAATCTTACAAAAAAATTGAATGGAAGGCGTATTAACCTCAAACCTCACCTTAAAATTCCTACCTGTAACTTCAGGTGTTCCTCTAGGATCTTATCTAGGACAGGTGCCGTTCTGTGTATAGTAAGTGTATTATAATTTTATTAATTAATATTAATTTAATAATTTAATCATTTCATTACTGCTATAACTTTCTGTTCAATAACGACATACATTATTCTTCACTATCATCGTTATCGTCATTATAATTACAGTTTATCACAGCAATGGATATTGAACACAGACCGCCTCTCAAAAATTGCCACAAGGTACGGATAGTGCATGCAGGTTGCTTAGGGGTACGCATCCGTCGACTTCCTACATGTTTCATAAGGTCGTCAATCTATTTAATGGCGGGACTAATTATAACTATATAAAGCATTAATATAATAAAGAATAAAATATTTTTTTTATAGAAGAGGGGCATACAAGCGGTTCACCTGATGTTAAGTGGCTATCGCCGCCCATGACCAACAGCAACACCAAGGGAATTGCAGGTGCGTTGCTAGCTTTTTAGAAAGGAGCAAGCTCTTTTCTTGAAGGTCCCTAGGTCGTATCGGTCTGGAAAAATCGCCAGTGGTAAACTATTCCACAGAGAGGTCGTACGCGTAAGAAAACTCCTAGTGAAACGTACAGTGGTGAACCGCCAAGCATCCAGATGGTGTGGATGGTATCGGGAGGTTTGCCGCGTAGTGCGTTCATGAAATTTGGCGGCTGGGATTAATCCGAATAATTCCTCAGAGCACTCCCCGCGGTATATGTGAAAAAAATGCAAAGAGATGCAACATCTCTTCGCAACACCAGTGAATCAAGCCGATCGGAAAGCACTCGGTCGTCGACGATTCGAGACGTTCAGCGCTGGATGCGGTCAAGTGGAAGGAACTGGCACTGGGGAGCCCCAGCCCAGATATGGGAACAGTATTCCGGCCAGTAGTGCGGCCGAACCTGAGCCTTGTAAAGTTGCAGGCGGTGTGCCGGCATGAATTACTGTCCCGCTCTGCTGAGCACGCCAAGCCATTAAAAATTGTATAAAAGTATAATATAAAAATATTGTAATGTAGTAAATGTATTATAGAAAAGACATAAAAATGACTCGTTAATCATTAAAGATAGGTTCATTATGTTTCCAGTATTTGACTATACTATATGAAATTATGAAAGATTTTTCGTTGAGAAGTGTGCATTAATGGCGGTAGGGCGTACCCGATATTTTCAACTGGGCGGGTTCAAAGAGAAAAATCACCGCCTTTGTGACGCCACGCCCATGTTCTCTCGCTTTTCCTCACAACCATTTTAACCGCAACGCTTTTATTACATAACATATCTACATACTTTAAATTGCCTGTATGAACATGATATGTAAGCGTTGTGAAATTACGAACTGAGTTGCTTTATAGACAATACATGGTGCACTGCCCGTATTCTCGCTTCTGCAAGTTCTGGTTTTAGAGGAAACACAATTACATATAGTTTTAGAGCAAGACGTATTTATTAAAACATGTTTTAAAAAGGATTTACTAAATGATAGAAACAAAATAGATAAGAAGCGTTTCTTACTAATCTACTAATAAATTCTTATTCATCTTTTACTGTGTGTGTGCTATTTTTGCATAGGTACTTTTAAATAATTTTATTGTGGAATGTAAAATCCAATCATATTTTCTGAAGAAACAATTTTTTTTACAAGGGGGGCCAACAAGGAACCTGTTTGATAATTTCATACAAAAATATTTTTGAAACAGTTATCAGTTTACATAGTTGTGTTTTTTTACCAATAAACCATTCTTATTATACAAATTAATCAGTGAAAGCTCTGAGCGACCATACTACTCGCCTGCGGGTTATTTTAGTACCTAAGTACTGTTAGGCGAACTGTTACGCATATAAAATTATCACGAAAAAAGCACATTACTTTATCATGTCTCTAATTATTTAGTATATTTAAATCATTTACGATGATTCAAGCCACTGTCAAACATATATGTAAAATGTATTTAACTTATATTGGCATATTCCTTGTATATAAAAACTGTACATTTCACAAGGAGTTTTCTTCCGCGTACGACCTCTCTGTGGAATAGTGTATCACCGGCGATTTTTCCGGACCGATACAACCTGGGGACCTTCAAGAAAAGAGCTTACTCCTTTCTAAAGGGCCGGCAACGCATCTGCAATTACCCTGGTATTGCGGTTCATTATGGGCGGCGGCAGGCACTTAACATCAGGTGAGCCGCATGCTCGTTTGCTCCTCTTCTATTATATTCTTCTAAATAATAAAAAATATATAAAAAGTAGACATGTATGTGTATGGACGCGCGAGCGAACTCTCATTTCGCAAGTTTTTTGTTACCTGATCTTAAGTGAATGCTGTGGCCCATAGACATCTACATCTATCCTCGATTACGAATCAAAATGCAGATGCGTTGTTATCCGTGAGGACTAAGATGGAATTTCCCTATATACTATTGTAGTCTTTGGATGGAATGCCTAGTTTCCAGTGAAAGCGGTATCCGTGTAGAGAATACGCACCATACGAAATACAATAGCGTTAAGCTGCTATTTTACGGTGGTATTCTGTGAGAGCGTGGTCCTTACGCGGTCAATACGATCCGATCCGATATACTACTAATATAGCTGCAGCACCACGTATAAAACAATTATAAAAACAAACAAAAAGTATAAAACAAGTAGTAGTAGTTTACGTCAAGCCTGTCTCGTAACCTGTCGGTACTTTTTTATACTTATTGGCATTGACAGACCGACATGCATTTAATAACCACTCAAAGTCACAAGCAGAAGCGTTGAACATTAGAATTTTTATAGCCTTCCTCTAAATCCATCAGTTTTTACTTGCCACTGTGAATAGCTCGCTATTGAATCATGACATTCTCTACAGTAAATGCGGCACTACTAGAGAAAAACTTACTTACTCATCGAGGCGCTGCTATGCGGTAATGTCTCTAATCTTTAATGGCATTAATTCTACAACTAAAACCAATCTACAACCAAAACCAAATATGGACAATACCATTCGCTTGCTTTCAGTAAGTTGCTCGGTCTGCATACACTTTATGGTGAGATTCAAGCTGAAATTAATTTTTTATTAAAAGGATGTTGCTAATCATACGATAACTGACGGCTCGGTAGCAAAGTGGCTTAATAATGAGTTGCAACGCTATGAGCCGCGGGCGCGAATCCCGCGCGGGATATGTATTTGTATGGCCACAAATAGTTGTTTCGGAGCTGGATGTTTGTTCTTGTGATGTAAACTACACCCACGATACAGGGGAAAATCTTAGTGTAGAGGTAATACTTAAAAAGAAAACAATGAGATAATCGTACGCTTAAAAATAATTATTCATGCGATAAGCGTATAAGTAAAAAATACTTACATCCGATAATTTTTAAAATTAAAAAGTTAATTCTTACAATATTATATTTTATAGCACCACTAGTAGTGATCCGCTTCGTCTTCGCACGGGTGATTTCTGGATCTCAACAACAGCGCCACCTATCGGATCCAGTTGTGAATGTAAACCATCCATAACTCACACAAAAATTTCATCAAAATCAGTCGAGCCATTTTCGAGTTTATCCGATAATTTTTAAAATTAAAAAGTTAATTCTTACAATATTATATTTTATAGCACCACTAGTAGTGATCCGCTTCGTCTTCGCACGGGTGATTTCTGGATCTCAACAACAGCGCCACCTATCGGATCCAGTTGTGAATGTAAACCATCCATAACTCACACAAAAATTTCATCAAAATCAGTCGAGCCATTTTCGAGTTTAAGCGAGACTAACGGACAGCAATTGATTTTTATATATAGAGAAGATAGAGATAAAATTAACCTACTACAAGGCTAAAGATTAATGCATTAATAACTACGATGGTAAGTTTAAAATGTTATGATATGAACCTATCTTACAATTATGTACCTATTTAAACTTCCTTAAAAAATTAATAAAAATATTGAAAAACACTATATTATGTACATTACATATAACTGCACAGCAGAATAAATAATTCATTTTCCCAAGCTATAACTCGACAGTAGCACAGTGTCTAAAGGGCCATGTGTCACAACTAAGAGAAAAATAAATAAAAATGCATTATAGTCATCTCAAAACTCACGAGTATTGTATTATATTGCAAGGTTGGTGTAATGGTTTTATTACTTAACTTAAATAAACTTAAATAACCTGATCATACAAGTAAGTTTCAGTAATATATAGTATTCACTTGTTAAAAATTATTAAAAAAATATTTTATTACATTTCCATTATATATATCGAAGGAATAGAAATAAATAAATCATACGATAATCGTATAAATAAGAAAAAGTTAGACGTTCCATTATCATATGACTATACACATCCTTATCATTATATAATATATCATTAGTATAAATAGTATTCTATGAGTACAAATTCCTCAAAACATTATTTTCTAACAAATTGGACATTATCTGTCTTGCTACATTTTTTTTTTCTAAACTGGAAGAAGGCTGAATTTAATTGCGTGTAATTTATTAATCTGCACAAAAATGCGATTAAAAATGAATTAGTTCTGTCAAATTGCACCTGAATGACATTGCCAACATTGAAAAAAATAAACTGTCATGGCTTAGTGTTACATAGGCCACACTACTTCTAAAATTATTGCAACGCAAATAGTTATAATAGAGCTCTAATTGTTAATAAAAAACTGTTTTATGTAAAGGCCCAGAGAACTATCAAAAATGGATTTGTCTACTTCAACATTATCACACTTTATGCCATATTGGTTAGACGGTCTCCTGGAAGAGTGTGACAATGAGGGTAAGTAAGTTTAAATTTGTAATTGCTACGTTTTTGCGTTAAAATAATTGGCGATACCAGTAAGTCCATACTCAAATACTATGAAATGTTTCAAAATAATTTTAATTTACCTAATTAAAGCTAATGATGACGTAATACAATTTATTCACTTAATAAAGTTTCTAAAATGTTTTTCGTGTACCCTCTATTATTATAAGCTTCCATAAATGTTATTTCTTAATCAATGTACATTTTGATTTCTTATATTTACGCGAACACTACACATTGAAATAATACTAATTTTTACGGAATTTATCGCGTATATTTAACTTTTTTACCCGACGTTTCGAGAGCTTTACAGCACCCATGGTCACGGGAAGGACTGACCATGTCCTTGTGAGTCCTTCCCGTGACCATGGGTGCTGTAAAGCTCTCGAAACGTCGGGTAAAAAAGTTAAATATACGCGATAAATTCCGTAAAAATTAGTATTATTTCAATGTACATTTTATCTGAAACTTGCATGTTTCGTTGTTTGTTGTTGAAAATATGTTATATATATGGGTGTTATATAATAAATATAAGGTATTTCAGAAGTAAAGTATTTACGATTACAAGAGTGTTTTGTATATGGATTGCAATTTGACCGTGGGCAGCGTGACATTAATTTTGAGAATTGTTTCGATTAAATACTAACCGTCGTTGCTTTATTATATAGAAGTATAATTGTAAATATTAAATTGCAGCTAAGGACCACATGGTATATCCTATAAAGTTGCTGCAACGTGAAAGCCGTGCCGCCGTATGGAATTTATGCTCCCACTTCTGTGTTGATCAATGTGGTGTTCCGGCGTTGGCTTGCCGACTTCTCGAACGATACCTGTCGGTATTACACCGCCACCACATTTTGCTTCGGAACGGTAATAATTATAATACTTTGACCTATTATTATACTAATATCATCATCATCATCGTTACAGCCATTCACAAGTCCACCGCTGAACATAGTCCTCCCCCAAAGAAACAAAGCACGGTCCTGAACCACCTGCATCAGTCGACTTCCTGTGTATGTCTTATCAGGTCGTCACGCCATCTAGTGCATGCATGCGAAAATAAAAAAAATTATATCACCTTTTATATTTTAATCATTAATTCGAATAGAACATTTTATTTCTCATGCCTGATAATTAAAATTACCTTGATTATTGTTCATTTTCATTCAATCCAACTGCCGACAACACCATTTTTATGCCATTTTTATTATGCACCAATATTAATGTGATTAAAAACATAATAGATATCAATATTATGTATGTGTTTTTTAAAAGGATACCATTAATTTTTTAAAACGAAAATGCTTTATCCTTTTATTAATCTAAATAAATTCATGTTTATTTTTTATTGAAATTCAGCTATTTTTTGGTTTACGCTTCACTGTTTTCCAGCTGTGAGAATTAAACGTCAACAACGGTATTGTTGCGTTAAGTTTCATGTATAGTACTTGGAACTAGCCACACCAATAACTTTGTCGATGCTTTTTCGACACCGAATAATTTCTAGTGTTTTGTTTTTCTGAGTAGCCTAGTATTGTCTTAAGTTTTTGATCAGGTAAGCGAGTGATAAAAATAACACTTTTCAGGCCGGAATCAAAAACTATAATAGATATATTCATGAAATTTAATATCCTAGGTTCTGTGGTGGTAAATAAATATTACGGCATTAAACATTTGCATCTAACCTCGATTGAGAAACAATTGTATATTACGCGTTATCAGTCTTGCGGGCAGACTGATTACCTTTAAAAAAGATATCCGGTTAAAGAAGCACCAAATAAAACTCACCAAACGAAAAAAGTCATAATTGTTCTGTTACTTTACGCACGCACCCTGCTTTCTAAAAATGAAGTGCTCTTTTGGTCATAGGTCCTCTTACAGCGTAGGACGGATTTTAATTAATTATAGGTATAATAGCTGTATTCAGCCAAACTTTGATCTTATCGCGTAAACGTTAAATCAAACCAGAGTAATTAATAAAACCACTTATATGGATTTTATCGCGTGCTATATTTTATCGGGTGCTATACAGCACCCACGGTCACGGCGGTGGTATAAGTGGTTTTATTCAATGTGTAGTGTTGACGTAAATTTAAGAATGGAAACTGGCATATGTTTCCTAGGTGATATGTATCTGCCTAGGACTTTGTCTGGGTACGTACCGCCATCTCACCTATTTCTGGCGCTAAATAACAGTATGTGCACTGCTGTGTTCTGGTCTGAAGGGCTTAGAGAGCCAGTTTAATTACAGGCCATCGGGTATTGCATCTTAGACCTCAGAAGTGACATCGCATCTGTAACCTATCTTTATTTAAAAATGGTGCCCATAACAGTCATCAAAATCGGTTAAACTAGAAAAAAGTGCTGAGGTTAAACATATAAAAAGTACAGTCAAATTGAAAACCTCCTCCTTTTTTAAGTCGGTTGAAAAGGTGAGGACGCGTGACTGCCTGTTGTTGATCTCCTGGAATATTGGGAGAAACTTTCAGCAAATGCCTTTTTCTTGTAAATTCTCCGCCCATCATATCATCCTATACCTTCCATACAAGTAACGGGAGGATGACCTTTTTTACCCTTCCATTCTATCGTGTGCGGTATCGTTGGATAGGTCTTTCAAAAACATTGGGGCTTGCAACAACATTTTTTGGATTCATAGGTCCGTTTGCGAAATATTTAGCTTTAAAGTGGTATTTTTCATTAGAGTCGTGTGTTCCCCCTCCCCTCCATCAACTAAACCGCTGTATTTGGAAATGTAAAAAGTATACACAATAGTAGTACATATAATGAAGTTGAGTTAAGAGAAACGATCACAGCTAAGTAGAAAGAAAGTTAACGAGTAATAGTCGACCAACTTATAAAATACACTTGGATTAGTAAAAATTTCGTTCAATTCCATAGAAAATGACTTATTTTAACTCCGTTATAACTTCATAGTGTAGTTGTAAACAATAAGAAATAAAAAAATTATGAAGAAAACCACTTATATTTTTACTACTATAGCTTAACTTTTTCTTTTTCGGGATAGACAGGGAGGATCTTTCTTTCGTACATACTACTTTCGCTTATTTTTTACCGACTCAAAAAAGAGGAGGTATTCATTTCGACTGTATGTTTTCTTGTTTGTTTGTGCGCACAACTACTCTCGTAGACAATCCACAAATTACTTCACTTATTGCATAATACACTTTTTTATGAAAATCATTTATTTTCAAAAAAATCGGGAAGTTATTTTTTATTTTTTTAGATTTTCTATTCCATTTGAATCGATTCAGACCAGAAAATTATTAAAAATATCTCAAAAATAAACATTTTAAAAACATTTAAATAAATGTAACGATTAATTCCAAAATCTAATCAGCTCTTAAACCTTGAAAACCGCCATCGATTACTGCAAACTGCATTAAAATCGCATCGAGCGTTGAAGAGAAATGGTTAATGAAAAATTAAAAAAAAGCATTTTTTTAAATAAATTATCAAAATCGATTCGTTTACGAAATATTCTTCAAAATCTTGAAAAAAAACAAGGTTTTTCAAAATTTGGGAAACCTTTGCATTTGAAATTAGCGGGAAGTTCCAGGGATGGCCTGTGGAGTCAACCGTTTTTTTGTTTTAAAAGAATTGTTATAAAATATTACCGAAAAGAAAAATATTTCTTTTGATAAATCACATAGTTAGCATCTACTTAATATGAACTAAATTAATTTAAGAATTTATTTGCCTCATTTAACAGTGGCAATTATGAAATCCTAGTGTTTCTTGAAGCAATCAATATTATTTAGTTGGTAGTTATTGTAGGCCTCATTTTTTTTCATTCGTAGTACTCTTGGTTTACACGGGCGACCCTCAGGATAGTTGAGGGCAGTGGGGGTTTACGGGAAGGTTCGTTACGGTCATATAACTTAGGGTTGCACTGCCGGAAACATATAAATAGATATCAACTATGACCATCTTTGTACGGACTTGGCATATGAATGAGTTGATGAAGATTGTGTTATTTTTAAAATCAAAAGCTTTTTTAACTTTTTTTTAAATACCGCTCCCTATAAGTCTTATTGGAAAAAAGTTCTTCAGAGAACATCGCTCTATTTGTGCTCATTTTTAGTCGTTATAGCGGTCCAACCGCGATCTTACTTAATATGGTCATTAACAAGAAAGCCGCTTTTGTATGTTCATGTACTGTGGCAACTACGGAACCCTATCTCTACAACGTGCGTGGCCCGACATGTTGGCCAGTTTTTTTTTTAAATTTCTTCTGCAGAAACGAAAATATACAAAGACCACATGTCATTTCATTTTAAAATTATGATATTAAACTGTTAGATGAGAGAAATATGGTATAGGATTGGTATGTAAAATCGTGAATATTGTTGTGTTACGCTTTTAGATTCTAATTTAAAATGATCTAATTTAAAATCTAATAATCTAATTTAAAATGTCTACTTAATCGAACCTGCTTTATAGTCGGAATTTAATGCAAATTTCTTAAACAGGTAGCGAAGAATGGCACACTTTTAAGATGAAATTGACAGAGAAAATGCCGTTACTGATTGCTACGTGCATCCAACTGGCTGCCAAGATGGGCAGTGTCAAAGCGAAACTGAATGCTAATATAATACGCGTGGGTTTGCTCTGCAAGGGCGCTAATTACAGCATTCGAAATATCAACGATACGGAGTTTGAGGTGTACAGGACACTAGGTAATATTTTTCTTCTTATTTATATCTAATCCGCTGAACTGTATCTTGTAGATACAGTTTAGCGTCGCGTAGTTGGATTCTCCAAATCAAAACACAAGCCTATAAAAATGCTACTTCTTTTTCTTCTTTACTAGACCGTAAATTTCTTTTCACTTAAGCTACTGTCTGGGCAGGCAGATTGGTAATGGCAGATCCAGACGTTGAGCACCTTTGACACTACTACTCTTTATCGCCGTATATATCGAGATTCTTCGAGTCTTTTAAGTGTGGCGTAAACTACAGATGATAGAGCTGGCTCTAACGACTCCCAGAGAACGAATTGGGGTGATGGATACTCTTACGCCACCACGATACAAGTGCTATTTAATAGAGATTATATTGTAATCACTTTAACAAACCCTTAGGTTTTTCACTTAAAGGAACTTTACAACATGGTGATACACGATTTGCTTAGTTTTGCTTGAGTGTCCTACTTTGATACCGCAGTAATTTTTTATTTTATTTTGAAGATTATTTTTTTAAATAGGTCATACTTCAGTGGTGGTCCTATACAAATTTGGAGAAATGATCCCACCCACAGGTGGCTAAAAAGGAATTTCTTTGAAATTCTTAACTTTTTGTTAAAAGTTATAATTATTAAAATTAGTTTATATGAATCGAGATAAAAATTACAATTTTCTTTATCATAATAAGCAAAAACATTTTAAATAATGTAACTTTTTGTCCACGGAATGTCGCACGTTTACTTCGTGCTTGACATTATGCATGCATTAGCATAGAAAATCCTCGTCTTAATTTGAACATAAATTTACTTTTATCAAAAAATAACCATTGTATACAAAACAGGAATAGGTGTAATCTTTCTTGTATCAATTATGATACCTGAGTGTATATGAGTATAACAAGACTATTGTCTCGATCACTAGAAAACTAGGATTAAATAAATTATTACGTATGTACGTATAATAAACGTACGCACTCTTTCAAAAATCCTACTTCTCTACAACGGAAAATGCCAATATCCTGCTGTGTACTTCTACGAGCAGATGATGAATGGTATTTACATTAAAAGTTAGAAAATTGCTAAATTAAGTTATGCAATAAATTTATATCAGTAATTTCGTTCTAACGCAGAATATCGTATACCATTTTGGACAAGCGTTGATGCCGGATTGTTCCTTGCTTTCGAATTGGGAATGCCGATCGATAAGCTCCATAAAGTTGCTACTATGGTCGATTTTGCCGAATTTCTACGTGACTGTATTGAAAAGAAAGTGCAGCTGGTCGCTAATTTGTCGCCTACCTCACGCAGTAAGTTTTATATTATTTTTGACTTTTCACAAACGATGTAAAACTCTTATCGACGTATTTTTATTAAAGGTGCTACAGACATGGGCCAGTCTGCCAACCAAGTGTGACAGGCGGTAGTTGCTACACTTGATTGGCAGACTGGAGATTGTACTACAAAATGTCTCGCAGCTGTGTCACAGTTCTCCATGCAACCATGTTTAAAATTATGTAATATTATTTTATTACTGCTATTTGTTAAAATACAATAATTTCGTCATCGTTAGACACGTCCTTCACGGAACAAGGTTTCCTTATGTTTTTGTATTGTTTATGCTGCTATGCCGCAAGTCCTGAATTCGGATCTCTACAGGACATTTTTTTTAAACACAAAATATTAGCTTTCAGGTCTGCTGTGTTATAATTGTCACTATATCATAGACACTGCGTACTTCATTCAGTATATTAAAAGATGAACGAGTGATTATATCATCATCACCGTCGTCGTCGTTGCAGTCGCTGTCGTCATCGTAATCGTCATGATCATGATCATCATCGTCATGATCATCACCACCATAACCACTGTGATCACCATCATTATGAGCCTGAGGCAGTCCACTGCGGGACATAGGCCGAAACCGATCTAAGTGGCGCTCATTGGGAGTGATTATATTATATTAACGCGAAATAGGCTTACCAAACCTACTATATCGCAAGCTAGGCAACAAATAACATCTAAATAGTTACTATAAAAACTTCATACCCAATTTTGTCACTCTTAAGGATAGAATTTTTCTCCAAATGTATCATCAATGAACTATCTCTTAAATATTAATTATTTAATAGAGAAACAAGAATAATATATAAATACGGTTCACAATTTACGAATTATGTCTCATAAAATACAAGCTAAAAAGAAAACACAGTTTAATTGAGAACATCTCCATTTGTGGTCGGCTAATTAGGGGTTCCAATACTATAACTTTAATACAATATATAATAGAAGATAAACAAAAAAAAAGTTAATAAAAGCTGACTATGGCTTAAGACCATAGACCACTTAAGACTGCTGCTAACGGCTCAAAGGTGCAAGAGTATTCTCTTAAAATATTAATTTTAAAAATAAGTACTACATGTAGGTATTTTCGTTATGTACTGTATTTTATAGGTAATCGTTTCGAAACAATCTATAGGGTTATTTTGCAATAACCGGCCAAAAGAATTACACCAGTTTCGACTAAGCGTGGACAACATGCCCGGTGAAAATAATTTTTACCAAATAATATTATTAATTCTGAAAGAAATATTTTTGGACATCACATTGTGGCCAAGTACACGTATAAAAAGTCGAAATAAAGAGTATTTAAATTGTATCCACCAGTTATACACTATGAAGTGTAGAAGTAAGGACTGCAGACTGTGATTTAAAAAGTGTCCATAGAAAACAGTTAAATAAGGGTGGCGCCACTATAGCTACGGGGTAATTTTTAAAGAACGCACCAAAAATATTAGTGGGATAGCCGACTTGCCGTGTAGTGGCGGTTGAGAATATCCACTACCCCATATCTTCCCGTGGGTGTCGTAAAAGGCGACAGAGGGAGACAGGCAGGAGATGGGCAGCAGCATCTTCCTGATAACAACTGTGACATAATAAAAAACTGCGGTTGCCAACCCGCTCGCCAAGCGTGGCAACTATGGCAAATACCCCCCCAATGAATAAATACACAAACAGACGGCCCCCAGTCCCCGGCGGCCCCGCTATTCCTGGCTACGGTGGCGACCATGGTAACGGCGGGGCAGGGGGGTGCTAAGAATCTCCGGTGGAGGTTCGGTTGCCACCTACGACGACTCGACCTGGCAACATATAACGCACGCACCCTGAGGACTGACGAGAAGATACTAGAGCTGGAAGAAGAGGTAGACAAGTTGCGCTGGCATATTATTGGATTATCCGAGGTCCGAAGAGAGGGGGAGGACACGGCAATCCTCGAGTCCGGCAACTTGTTCTATCACCGGGAGGGCGACCATCTGTCCCAAGGAGGTGTCGGATTTATCGTCCACAAGTCTCTCGTCAATAACGTTGTAAAGATTGGGAGTGTGTCGACGAGGGTCGCGTACCTGATACTCAGAATCACCAAACGGTATTCGCTGAAGGTCATTCAGGTTTACGCACCAACCTCGGCACATCCCGATGAGGAGGTGGAGGAAATGTATGAGGATATTTCCAGAGCCATACATTCCTCCAAAACCCACTACACGGTGTTGATGGGAGACTTCAACGCAAAACTAGGCACAAGAGAAAGCGGTGAGCTGAAGGTAGGGAAATTTGGAGTAGGGCAACGGAACCGAAGGGGCCAGCAGCTGGCCGACTTTATGGAGAAAGAGGGACTCTTTATGATGAACTCTTTCTTCCAGAAGCGGCCCCACAGGAAGTGGACCTGGTCGAGCCCCGACGGTTCGACAAAAAATGAGATTGACTTCATTATGACGACCAGACGCCAACTGTTCAGTGATGTCTCAGTGATCGCAAGGGTGAAAACTGGCAGCGATCACCGAATGGTTAGAGGCACACTGAACCTAAACGTTAAGTTGGAGAGGTCTCGTCTAATGAAGTCAACGCTCCGTCCCCCTCGTGCTCTAATCCAGAATCCCGAAACCTTTCAGCTCGAGTTACGTAACCGCTTCCAGTGCCTAGAAGATTGCAATGCAGTGGACGATATGAACGACAAGCTCGTGGAAACTGTCCATGCGGTCGGAGCTAAGTTCTGCAAGACCCGCCGCAGAAGAACACAAAAACTCTCCGATCACACTCTTAATCTCATGGCTGTTAGACGGGAGATGAGGCTGCAATCGTCAACAGATTTGACAGCATACAGGCAACTGAACAGACAGATCTCCAAATGCATGCGGCGAGACTTACGCAACTTTAATACTTCTCGTATTAAAGAAGCGATCGAGCGGAACCAGGGCTCCAAAGTCTTTGCCAGAGATCTGTCTGCCAGAAAGAGCCAACTGTCAAAGCTGAAGACTGAGTGTGGCAACATCGTTTCCGGGACACCTGAGATTTTGAGTGAGATTGAGAGGTTCTATGGGCAGCTGTACACATCATCGTTGGAGCCACACGCAAGTGTGAGTAACGATCCAAGAGCAAGTCTTATCCGACACTATTCCGATGATATCCCGGACGTCAGTCTGAGCGAGATTAGAATGGCTCTCCACCACCTTAAAAACGGCAAGGCCCCGGGCGAGGATGGAATTACAGCGGAGCTTCTGAAAGCGGGTGGAAAACCGGTACTTGAAGTCCTTCGGAAGCTCTTCAATTCCGTCCTCCATGGTGGCACTACTCCGGAGGCGTGGAGCAGAAGCGCGGTGGTTTTGTTCTTTAAGAAAGGCGACAACGCTCTCTTGACGAACTACAGACCGATTTCCCTTCTGAGCCGCGTCTACATGCTATTTTCGAGAGTCATTACGAATCGTCTCGCACGCAGACTCGACGACTTCCAGCCTCCCGAACAAGCCGGTTTCCGAAAAGGCTTCAGTACCATAGACCACATACATACCCTGCGGCAGATTGTACAGAAGACCGAAGAGTACAATCTGCCACTTTGCCTGGCATATGTGGACTATGAGAAAGCCTTTGATTCCGTCGAAATTTGGGCGGTGATACAGTCCCTTCAGCGGTGCCAAGTTGACTGTCGGTACATCGAATTGCTGAAGTGTTTGTACAGTAGGGCTACGATGGCTATCCGAGTACAGAACCAGAGTCCGAAACCTATCCAACTGCAGAGAGGTGTAAGACAGGGTGATGTTATATCCCCGAAACTCTTCACCGCTGCGTTGGAAGACGTTTTCAAGCTACTGGACTGGAAAGGATACGGTATTAACATCAATGGCGAGTACATCACTCACCTTCGATTTGCCGATGATATAGTCATTATGGCAGAATCGCTGGAGGACTTAAGCATTATGCTCAATGACCTCAATAGTGCCTCCCAACGGATAGGTCTTAAGATGAACATGGACAAAACAAAGATCATGTTTAATGTCCATGTCACACCTATGCCGGTAGTTGTTGGGAGCACTATGCTCGAAGTTGTTGACGAATACGTTTACCTGGGACAAATAGTCCGACTAGGTAAGTCCAACTTCGACCGAGAGGTCAATCGACGGATTCAACTCGGCTGGGCAGCGTTCGGGAAATTACGACATATCTTTTCGTCAGGTATACCTCAATCTCTAAAAACTAGATTGTACAACCAGTGCGTGTTGCCAGTGATGACTTACGGATCTGAGACGTGGTCCTTCACTGCTGGCCGTATGAGGACGCTTAAGGTCGCTCAGCGAGCTATGGAGAGGGCTATGCTTGGAGTTTCTCTGCGTGATAGACTCAGAAATGAGGATATCCGCAGTAAAACCAGAGTGACCGACATAGCCCAACGGATTAGTAAGCTGAAGTGGCAATGGGCCGGCCATATAGCTCGAAGAACCGATAACCGATGGGGAAGAAAGGTTCTCGAGTGGCAGCCTCGTACCGGTAGGCGTAGTGTAGGGCGACCCCCCACTAGATGGAGTGACGACCTGGTAAGACATGCAGGAAGTCGATGGATGCAGGTGGCTCAGGACCGTGCTTTGTGGCATTACTTGGGGGAGGCCTATGTTCAGCAGTGGACTTGTGAAGGGCTGTAATGATGATGATAATGATGATGAGACGACTTTTTCGAGGTTATATTTACGAAATAAAATTATTTTAGATTTTAGAGCTACTGAGAAGTTTAGCAGCACACTTAAACCGTCGACAACTGCTAAGTTCATTTCATCCCAGTAGCTACTCCAGCGCTGTTGTGGAGAGTTTTTGAGCTGTTATTTACTGCTTACAGATGGCCACTTTTTCAACTATTCTACTATGGGAGTTGGTGCTCCTTACTTCTACACTCCATAGTATAGCCATTTGTTTGACGAAGTGTTACCAGCACGGAAATAAAACATTAATTTCAGTCTGTAATCGATTGGATAATCAATTATGGTAACCAAAATAAAATGTTTGTCTGCAAAACGAATACAAATAAATACTGTATGAGAAGATTATACTCATTTACTTACATTGTTTTAAAATAAAATAATTAACAACTACTTACTACTTTTTAACGTATTATTTTTTTAGATTAGACTATCGGTTCTAAAAATCGATTATTGTCAGATTATATTTTTTCCTGGCAATTCCTATTGTATTGCTTCGTCACATGGAGGTTAGAGGGAGATCGATCGCTATAGAAAATAGTGTCCCAGAAATATGGACAAAGTAAGTGAGGTGCTGCGATCGCTTAGTTGTCTCAATAAAAGTAGTTTTCAGTCTATTTTTCCAAACAGATGCTAATCCACTTGCATATCCACGGACAATTCAACATTTCACCATTTTTTAATGTTTCTTTTGGTCAAAAATTAAAAAAATACGGAGCACGAAAATTTTCTCAACAATGCCGTAAATAAAATTTGTACATCATTCAACTAACTTCATCTGCTTGTACCCATAAACAGCTAGCTAACTTCGCAGATACTACGGCAATTCGGGGACAGGCGAGATATGCTTTAGTACGTAGCGATCGTTGTTCTCCTCTCTAACCTCCATGGCTTCGTCAAGTGAAATGACATCTGACATTCTCTTTGCTTTATAATGGACATGTTTTGACATTTTTTTGCCCTTTGTTTTGTATTTATATTTCTTAAATCGTGTGTAAATTTGTGATTATAATATAATTGGTTATTTCTTTCTATATAATGTGTAAGCAGATTATATCAAAATACTATTGGCAAACAATATATTTTAGAAAAGAATATGGTTATTACAAAGATTTTACCCGGCATAGTTTCAATTTTTCACATGCCAATTGAAGCATATTCTTGCATCTTGCTACAACTTTATTATAATATTTGCTTTTCTATAGATATGTAGTTTTTACAATGCAAGTATTTGATTAATAAAGATCTTGTCCACGCTTAACCAGATCATCCTAACAAACTGAGCAATTCCTTTTGCAGAGAAGGTTTAGAATAACTAATATAGGCAAATGGTAAACAAAAATTAATTTTTAAAATCTAACCATTTTGTACTTTTTGCCTTTTAAATTCAAATGCGTGGTAATGCATTATTTTAACAGATTTTACTGCGCACACATACATTCGTAAGGGTTGATAGGTAGGCAAAACCGTTATCGCCCATAAATTACATTCAATTTGAGATAAATTCAAAGAAGCCTTATTTACTCGCCTTTTCAAAAACTGCAATAACGGTATATCATTATTATATTATTTATATATGTGAACTTAAGTTAAAAATTTGGCTACTCTTTGAAAAATAAACCTGTGTTAAACTAAGTAAAAACACATGTACTACTATTTAGAACTTTTGCTGTCTTCATAACATTTTTTTAATACATGTGGACGAAATGAATATTTTCGTGTATTTCAAGAAAAATTCAAAGAAGCTTATAATTATAGCCCGTACGGATTAAGAATGGGATTATATATGGCGGCTCATCGAGCCCGTACCATCAACATGCACAAAAAATATAACAAAAACCCGCTAATAACGATATACCGTTATTAAGTATGTTACTTAAAACTTTAGATATATTATTCGGTTAGTTGGAAATTTTCTATCAATCTGAAAATATTTGAATAGAATTACATACATCAACTTTAAAATAACATTTATTACCAGTGACCTGCACTGGCTTCACTCTGATAAAATTTAATTAATATTTACAAGATAAGTAAATTATTTATCAAGATTAAAATAAAACAATGCATGTGTCTTAAATTAAGTTTATATTAATTTAAATAACAGCCAAGAAAATATGTATTTCAAATAGGACAGACAGGCAAAAAACTCCATAGACATTTATTTTTTACATATTATATTAATCTTTGAAAAAAAAATTTTTTTTACTTGAACCTTCAGAATCATCTGAGAACACTTTGATTCCGAACATCCCATCGTTATCTTCGTAATCGGAGCAGCTATCGCTTTCACAAGCGCTGTACATCCACGATGCTTTTTTTGGAACTATGTTATAGTTACTAATAAATAATAGGCGGTGTAAGAATATGTACTAATCTATATCATCACGTGGGTGTCGTAAAAGGCGACCGAGGGAAACAGGCAGGAGATGGGCAGCAGCATTTTCCTAATGACGACTAAAAATAAAAAAACTGCGGTTGCCAACCCACTTGCGAAGCGTGGCAACTATGGCAATAATTCTCCATATGAGCCAATCTATGGGGAAGGCTTATTCAGTTGTAGACTTTAACAGGATGTAACGGTACGAAACGGGGTACACTTTGGGTATTTAGCCTAAGAACGGACAACGTTTGAAATAACGAATACTGAACAGCGAATACAAAATTTTTGTTAAATCATTAATTATAAACAAACGTATAGCTACTAGATAACCTTGGTACAGGCCATCTTTTTTAATTCGAGTTGCAATCCTGTTGCCATACCCGCCCTTGCATTACTATATTGCAATGGGTGATAACCTTCCAGATTTTTATCTTTCTCAAAATACTTTATTACGTTATACACAATTTTGTGTGTAGCACTATATAGTAATTTCCCGCCTTTATGCTCGACAGATTTTTCTTTTATTATTTTATCTACATACTGTAGATAAAATAATAAAAGAAAAACAGTAATAGTCAACAAAAACTAAATAATTTACAACGCTTTACAATAAATAATAAACAAAAGCAATAACAGCGACTCAACAAAAGTATTACCAAAATCAACAATACTTAATTTTGTAAAAAACACTCACAAAATTCGTCTAGCTCGCAAATTTAAGAAACCGGGATAACTTTTTTAAATTTATGGCATTTTGTTACCATTCATGCCAATGACAAGTCGGACTGAAGTTATAGCACGTACGAAAAACGCATATTGCAACTTTTTTTTTTGTAGTCTACCTAACAGACATAGGTAGAAACATTTTTTGGGTTTTATATAGATAGATATATTATATTTAATGAATATAAATATTCATATATAATTGTTACTCAAAACGACGAAAAATTAAATTTTTAAGTGAAGAATGAATGTGCTTATTCCAGGTTAAGGTTTGTAACATCTATAATTGACGCTACCCTCATCAAATATTGGCCTATTAATCATAAAATTTTATTTATTGCAGATACAAGCAACATGCGCACACTGCATTTAGTGGCGGGTGCAGTGTCAGCAATTTTTCGTTTCCTCCATCTGGATGAGCTAGGATGCACTGGCCGTCTCGCAAAGCTTACGCGCGCTCCATTTTCATACATAAAGTGCATCTCTGATATAATTTGCGCCGAAATTGTCACTGATAACAAACCGCCTATCAAAAGGACACACAAGAGAAAATATCCGCAATGATTATATACGTAAATTTTTTCACTCCTAATCATGGCTATATCTAACTGGCAGTGAAAAGTCATCAAGAAACCATCGAGATTTGCCGCCTCTTAGCGTGTTTTGGTATTATTTTTAATTTTAACTAACAATGAGTCAAGTGCTACCTCTTGTCCAAGAAGATATTGCGTTACTGCAGCATGGCAACTGGCAGTTAGAGCTATCCGGTAGGCAGGACCAACAGATTTTTTTTGCATTTCGTAGGTGCTCTTTGAGCGTTTCAGTGTATTACTGCATTTTGTCCACAAAAACCGAGTGCTAAAGTAGCATAGACCCTGGCGGTTAGCTACCGGTGGCTAGGTCCTTTCAAATTTTAGTTTCTTTTTTGTAGCTGGCTTTTGAGTATTCCTCATGTTACTTTTGACTAGTAATAAAATCTATGATTGCATTTTTTTTTTCTAAAAAAATGCATATTCAAGTAGTAGGGAACGCTGGCGGCCAGTCACCGGCTACTTTAACATTTCTTATACGGTTTGGAAACATTAACCTTTTAGTGGACTCAATTATCACTGATTTCATTATTATACCCTGTAAATTAATAAAGATAGTACAAAATTCTTTATGTGGGACCAGTTTGAAATAAGAAATCGGTTTTTCAGCTACAAATGAACAACTGTTTGGCTCCAAATTTCCCCCTAACTTTTCACTGACAGCTTGAATGAAATCGAAATCAGACTCAGTCCGAATTGCTGACGAGATTAAATATGGCAAAACGCGTTGAAATGTATGTAATTTTGTTCCTAGATTTTGCAATTAGGAATTATGTTGTTCATTAATAATTTCAAGGTTAATGAAGCAAAGGCTAAAATGTTATTTAAATGAACTGCCGGATCTTAACCAAATTCCCGAGCTCTTAGCCAAAATTGTATTTTGAATATTTTGATTTTATAATGTGTTTTTTTTTAAGTTATATCAGTACTTAAATGTCTTTATAAAGATGTACTAATATTCACACTGCTTGAAAATAAGGAAATAGTCTACTCTAGAATTAAAAATATAAGAAACTCATTAATATGCTTTTTGATTTGATGTAATTTTAGTAATTAGACTTTTTGGTTATGATAATTTTCCTTCCGACTGTTTGTCCAATTTGACTGTAATCCAATCTTAAGTTTAAAAAGTGTATATCTAATGTGTGATTCTAGGACCGAAGTTATAATATTATAGATAATTTTTGCCAACTTTATTTTTAACTTTATATATAATTTATTATTATAAATATATCGGAATGCGTTATTGTTTGTTAATATTGTTTATATTTTTAGTTATGGAATAAGTTAAATAGGTGATATACTTACTGAATGTAAACCAAATATAATGAATATGTATTATAAGAAAGAGATTATAAGTATATATGTGAGAAAAATAATTTAGGTGTACAACTCCCTTACTTTACATTAAACTTTCAGATGATTCAAATCGATAGATTGCTCGATTTCCCTATAAACGTTTGGTTGTAAAAACGAGCTAAGTTAAATTTGAATACATATATGAATACGGGGAAAAAAGAAAAAGTGACAATGTATAATTAACTCCATAAGTCAATGAAACCTCTGATGAATGCCTCTGAAACAGTACACATTTTGAAGAATCTTTATAGAGAATATTTCTTTTAGTAATAGGTATGTTTTTTGAAATCAGAAAAATTCCAGAGTAATATTCGAATTATAATTTTTATAATCATAAAGCAATAATAATAAGTAGGTATATATTATATAAATTATATTATACATATTTCATAAATTAATATAATTATTTTCGAGTTATTTTATGTCTTTTTTTTTTTGAGTTTTTAACGCCTTTGTTTTAAAACCATATTATACTTTTCCAAAAGTTGAACATTAAATTGAATAATACAATAAAATTATATTTGAAAAAAAAATGGAAGGGGCTAAGCGCTTTTTGCCCTATACTTTGTTTTACTTTTTTATAGAAGAAGGAAAGCACAGTTTACCTGGTGTGTAAAGTTGATGGTGGGGGCGGTGGCTCATCAAAGATAGACGAAGACGTATATCATCTTCGTCTATCTTCGATTAAGAATCAGAATGCAGATGTCTTTTAAGGAGTGAACTAAAAGGAATGCTTAATACTAGAAAGCGACTGTAGTTCTCGTTACAGTGAAACAGCAGCATATGCAGCTGTTGTTACTGTTGCAACTGTGAGAGTAACCGACATAGCACAACATGAGCTAAGTCTACATTGGGCTGGCTAGTTTGTAAAGTATTTTTTACAGTTGTGGTTATCGCTCTCAAAATAGTTGTGTCTTATATGGTGCGTAGACGTGTTATGGAGTGTGTTTGATTGAGTCTATCGCATCCCGTATTTTTAGGAACCAATTAATTAACAGTAGTGAAGAGGCTCGGGAGCGATTTCTGATCTAGAGCTTCCTGTAGCCGTCGGGCGACGTGACACGTAACGAACCCTTTTAGTTAGTCATGATGCAGTCAATCAAATCCCGGCTTTTTCATTACGTGGTTTCACAGACTGCTTCACCTACACTGCCCGGAGTTATGACGGGGTCCATGACTGTTAAACTTGCACACTGACTCGTCACAGCTTCCGTCCAAGGGCCCACGCTGAGGTAACCATAGGCTACGCCACGCGACACTGTCAGCCTGATTCAGCACTTGGCCCGTTCCACGTAATATAGATCACCCCACTGATTTAACTAACCTCTTCTGATCACTCTCTAAGAAGCAATTCTGTCTTAAACATATGAACCTCTTAGTATATGGCCGAATCCGCTTCAACTAAGCACTGATTCTCTACTTCAAGTCAAAAAGTTTAGGGGAGTTATAGTCGATTTTCAAAAGCTATATTGCGAATTGTAGTGTTTTTTCATATGTATGCCATATTTATAAATAAAGTAAAAATTAATTTTTACAACCCTTGTGTAATAATATGAAACGACACTGACGAACTACATTTTCACCTTTTTAAAACGGTGATCTAGTACATAGTAATCTACGACAGTGATATTTATTACAAAATTTAAAAAGGAGTATATTTTGCCTTCACGTACTAATAAATTAAGTAATAGAAAATACTAACATGTCACATGTTTAAATAATTATATTTATGAAATGCTTAAAAATCTAAATTTTTAAGCATTTCACTACATACTTATTTTTTTGTCATTTCTTTTTAATAGTGTGTTAATTTAAATAGTTAACAGCCACATCCACTGAACCATAGATTTACTACTAACTGACGTTAGGAAAGTTAGGATAGATTGGCAATGCAAAAGAGCATAGTGTACGCGTATGTTAATACGAGAAAAATTGGCTGGATCCATGGAAGTAATACGTACTTACGTCACTGACCTCTATTATACAAGTACGCTGGATTGACTATACACCGTGACATAATGAGGCGATTTGATTTCCGCCTTTTTGGCGCTGACAGCAGAAGTGGACGTCTGAGGAACTAATAATAGAGTTAAGACAGTGTGACAAAATATATCGATAAAAAATATATACCCTACCTATACCTAAATAAATAGAATAGACTCTATGGATAGATATCCTCTACCCGTAACTTCCATTCTATTTATGTATCATATTAATATAAAGCCTTAATTATCGTTCATCATCATTAAAGCCCTTCACAAGTCCCCTGCTTAACATAGGCTACCCACAAGGAATGCCACAAACCACGGTCCTGTGCCACCTGCATCCATCGACTTCCTGCATGTCTTACCAGGCTGTAACTCTATCTAGTGGGGAACGTTCACTTCATCTTACTAATTAATATATAAATAATTAATATATAATAGTTGGGCGATGTCGGTCATTCTGGTGTTACTGCGAATATCCTCATTCCTAAGTTTATCGCGCGGAAAAACCCTGAGCATGACCTCTTCAAGCTTGCTGAGCAACTTCGAGCTCCTCATACACATCCGTGAAGGACCACGTCCATCCAAGCATCACTGCAACACCACTGGTTAAAACAGTTCTATAGCCACGAGAAGATGTGTTGTAATCTCCCGAACGCTGCCCAGCCAAGTTGAATCCGTCGATTGACCTCTCGGTCGAAGTTAAACTTACCTAGCAGGACTATTTGTCCCAGGTAAACATTCATAACGATGATCATGCTTCATATTATCAGATACATATATATATATATATATATATATATATATATATATATATATATATATATATATATATATATATAAATGGCAACCTTCTTTTGAATTGACATTCTGTTCCCGGTAGCAACTGGTGTTCCGACCGAAATCTGTTAATTAATAAACATTTGATAATCATCTGTTGTTGGCGACTTTGTTAACGGATATGGGTAGCAAAGAATATAGATAAGTATTATAGACAAGGAACTTGACAACCCTATTGAATTTTATTGTTTATCAAAACTCACTAATATACAGCCAAACATGTTGATATATATGATATTAAGATTAGTAACAAATTTTTAAGTATATTATCAAATAGTTTTAATTTGTTTAATATTAGCCGCAAATTCACTTACTTGTGAAATGTTATATACCACTTCCCTTTTGGTAACGAGTTTTACAGATTACGCATACTCTCATTATTATTAAAAATAATTCTTATTAAGTAACTACAAACAACTTTACTTACTTTCGTTTTTTAGTTTAAAAGTTCAAAATACAGATTTTTTAAATAAGTCAACAGACTGGCATATTATGTCGGTTTTAGTTTCCAAGACGACCGTTAGGGGTGCTTCAAATTGGCACACACATTTTGTATGGTATAGCCGGTCAAGCGTACTTACATATATAGAGGTCAGTGATCATGATTGATAAAAAACGGATGGTGACTGATAGGCGTACATTACGCGCTCATGCAGGCGTCAATCACTGCATTACACAGTAGGTTATTCGTCAATCACAAACGTAATTGTTTTAAAACTGACAGCCTGCATGAGTGTGTCGCGCCTAAACGCCTCACTTACCTCAGAAAGCAATCCCTCATTTTTATACA